TCCTCCTCTAGAATCTTTGTCTGCGCCGACTCGAGTGTCCACGAGCTCTGGTTCTGCGGCAGGCTCAATCCGCTCGTGAATTGAAGCCACGATTCCGGCAGCAGGGAGAGCATCTTCAGGCACTTGGTCTGCTCCAGGTAGGTGATTCCCGCGGTCGCCAACTTCGCATAGAGGTCGCGCAATTTGTCCAGGACAGGTTGCACCGGCTCTCCCTCGCTCAGGCGCAACGCGGACAGCTCCCTCTCCAGCATCAATGTTGCAACAACGGAGGTCGGGGCGTGCAGCTCCTTTAACACCGTCCACGCCTTCGGACCGCACTCAACCTCCGGCAGCAGGTGCATGACGTGGTGACGCTGGTTCAGCTCCAAGCTCTGCGACATCAAGTAGTAGCCAGCCGAGGCGCGCTCGTCCCAATCTTCCTGAAGGGCGGGGTCACTCGGTCTTGGCTCCTCCCCAATCATTAGTTTCAGCAAACCGATCTGACGGAAATAAAGTTGCATTTTCCAGGCCCAATCATCATAGCCTTCACCATTGAACTTCTCGACGGTGAAGATTTTCAGCACCTCCTTGATCAGCGAGCCCTGGCTTGTTCGCGCTCCCCTTGGCGCAGAAACACCAGAATCATGGCTGCTGCTACGATCTTGGGCTGAAGATTCACCTGCTACCGCCGAGGTGTTCCCCGCCATAGCTACCTATATCGAGGATCACTATAACGCAGCTCTGATACCAGCTTGTTGGTGCAAGGGCCTTATAAACTCAAGCATTTAAGACTTTATCAAACTTAAAACCTCTCCTCGGGGTCACCTCCAAGGGTCCTTGGGTGCCTAGTACAAGACCAGCCCCTATCCTCGGGTCCGAGTTTGTAGAGAGAGGGATCAAGAGGGACTTGAACGTCGCGCAGCGTATCGTGCAGACCGTTGATCGGATTAAGCTGAGAATTTCCTATATCGAAGCTCACTCTAAGAGCTTTAAAATAAGCCAAGTTGCCTCGCGAAAAGTTTTGCCATTACGAAGTTATGGCTCGAACAGCGTTAGCCTAGTGTTGGAGTGCTAGCGTACTAGCGTTGACTCGGGTAGCATTCCACCGTCGCACCGCGTAGAAACGAAATTCCAGCAAGGATGGAATTCGCTTGAATCAATTTCACTATATTCAGGTACAAACAGAGAAAGAATAAATAGCTCTAGCTAGCAAGGACCTTGGGAATCAACCTGGGAACAACCAGGGATGATCCCAAATAATTCCAAGCAACAGAACCAACCTGGCTAGACAAAATAGCAGGTGGTAGGTTGGTGAACAACCTCTGGTTCTGTTTTTCCAACCTGGGAAAACAACAACATCAGGTTCAGGTCCTAAAAACAGAACCTGTTTTGTCTTTGCCCAACCAGCCAAATGCTGGTTCCGCTGGTTTCCCCTGGCCCTGTAGCATGCAGATACAGACAAACAACATCCAACCTTCACCTAAATTGTACCCCTATAGTGCCTGCCCTGCTACACTATAGTCAACCAAACAAAATAGTACAATTTCGAGTTGGATAGAACTGAATCTGCGCAATCAAGTAAGCCGAACCGCAAAGCTTCCATCTTGGGTTCCTTTGCGAGCTTGTCCTTTCTGCTTGTACTGTTCATAGCGTGTACAATGTTATGCCGAAGCGCACATTGTGCGAGTACCTGCAAATGCTTCAAGCAAAAATTGCGAAAGCAAACAAACACAGGAACATACCATTCACACGCAAATGCATTCGCACACGCATACTCGTACAAACAGACGGCAGGATGTCGTGCAATGTGAATTTGCACCCAACAGATCCAATACTTTGTATTGGGTGTATACCAACCTTACGCGGAAGCTCAAATGCTCGTTGTCCTCCACCATAAACTTCTCGATAGAGAATGCCTTCACGGAATCGGCGGTTGTTGGATATGGTGTAGTGGAAGGAGGTAGCGTAGGGTTGGCTTGTTGGTGAGTTCAAACTCCACAACCAACTACTTCCCCTTGCTCTTCAGCCTCTCTAACTGTATCCATCTCGCCATTAGCACCTTCGAAGTTTGCAACAACCATAATGAGGCCTTATAAACGGTGGAAACGTTATCATATCGTCGTCATAGACTGGGCACTTCAAGTTGGAACGTAATTCGACCACCCATCGAAAGTAACAGGTCTCACTTGTCAATATTGATGGCGATTCTGTCTAGAGTCGAGAGAAAAGGTGCACTAGAGAAAAGTAGAGGACACAAAATAGAAATGGTATCCCCTGTAAGAGCTAAACCCTAGTCTAGCCTATAACTATATGCATATATAAAAATAAACAATACAAACATATATAGTTTGGCACACCCCCTAGGCCAGACAAGGGGTAGTCGCGCAAGCCTGGCCGAGGCGCATGCCGAACCGGGATACGTACTAACAGGGTCCGACAGGGCCCCACTGCTGAGGCTGCTGCTGGCGTTGTTGCTAAACTCGCAACTGCTGCTTCGGCGGCCACTGCTGTGGAACCCTTTGTTGCCACGTCGACATGGCCGGCTAGTACGAGTACAAGCGGCAGTGTAGGCGGAAGGAAGCGGTCTCGTGTAGCTAGGAGTGGTCGGGTGCGGTACGGTGCGGTCAGGTGCGGTCGGGTGCGGTCAAGTGCGGTTGAGTGCGGTCGGGAGGGTCTAGTGCAGTTAAGAGTAGTCTAGTGCGGTGGGGAGCAGGCAGAACGTAGCGATGGTACCGGTGGCAGCTGCTAGAGTTCTCACTGGCGCTGCTGCCTCTAGCTGTTGCCGCCAGTGCTAGCTGCTGCTGCTGGCGCTAGCTGCTGTTGCTCGCGCTAGCTGTTGCTACTAGCTCTAGCTGCAGCTCTGCTAGCGGTGCACAGCTGCGGCTGGATGAGTGCAGCTGTGGCTGGCGCTCTGCAGGCGCACTGACGGCGCACTGTTGCGGCTTGTGCTGGCGTGGGGCGGTGCGCTGCAGTTGCTGCTGCTCGTGTTGGCGTCCGGGACGACAGGGCTTTCTAAGGGTGACCGCAGGGCGAGGTCGCGGGGCCGTCTAAGAGGGGTCGTGGGGCCATCGAACGAGTAAGGCGCAGGGTGCGAATGGGCGAAGTGCGTTCGGGGTGCGTGGCGGGTGATGGGCTACGGGTGAAGGGCGTGTGACGGGCAAGGGGCGACGAGAGAGCTATGGGCGACGGCCGAGCTACGGGCGATGGGCGAGCTACGCGCGATTTGCGGCGGGCTACTTAACAAGGGGCCGCGGGGCCTTTGAAGGGAGGCAGCGAGGCCTTCGAATGAGCAGAGCGCGGGGTGCAAGCGGGGCGCGTACAGGCGTAGGGCCGTGGGGCCTTCTACGGGAGGCCGCGGGGCCTTCTAAGGGAGGCCGCGGGGCCTTTGAACGAGTGGGGCACGCGGAGCGTACGAAGCAATGGGGGAACGGGGCACGGGACGACGGGCGGAACTAGGGCGGGGCGCGGGTAATGGGCCCATGGGAAAGAAAACTCGCTCTATACCATGCCAAACTAGAGCCGAGATGGAGCCTGATGGAGCCAAGACTTCAAGGTAGTTCCCGTCATCCGTACGTCACCCCGCGATTTCGCCACCAGCGCGCGATCTAGCCGCCAGGCCCGCGATCTTGCCGCCAACGCGCGATCTAGCCGCCAGGCCCGCGATCTTGCCGCCACCGCGCGGTTTTGCCGCCAGGCCCGCGATTTAGCCGCTCAATCAGCGATAAGGCCGCCTGGCGCGCAGCTAGGTAGCAGAATTTGTGCTAAAGCAGGCTCCTTTCACGTACTGGCCGCCGAAACTGCGTAGCAGCAGCGAAATCCGTGCCCTAGCCGCGATATCCGCGCCATAGCTGCGAAATCCGTCCCACCGCAGCGACATCCGCGCCAGAGCAGCGAAATCCGTGGCACCGCAGCGACATCCGCGCCACAGCAGCGAAATCCGTGCCACCGCGGCGACTCCCGCGCCACTGCAGCGAAATCCACGCCATAGCAACGAAATCCGCGCCACAGTAGTGAAATCTGCGCCACAGCAGAGAAATCCGCGGCACAGCAGCAAAATCCGTGCCATAGCAGCGATATCCGCGCCACAGCAGCGACATCCGCGCCATAACAGCTGGATCCTAGCCATAGCAGCGGAATCCGCCCCATAGCAGCAAAACCTGCGCCATGGTAGCGAACCGCGCCTTAGCAACGAAGATCGTGCCATAGCATAGTTATAGACGCCATAGTAGGAAAACCCGTGCCACAGCAGCAAAATCTCTGGCCATAAGAGCACCATAGAGTAAGCGAATGAGCCTTGGCCAGAGCTTGGAGCCATGGTGGAGGACCCGGACCCCGGGGATCCCGAGGTCTGGGTGGGGGACGGCCTGGACAGCGACATGACGGGGGCCTTTGGGGGCGAAGGGGGGGTAAGCACAGTAGCAGCTGATGGGTCGATCCACCTATTGGTTGGTCACAAAAGACGGGGGGAGGCTGAGGGGGCGCTTCGGAGCCCACGCATCCGTCGCCTCCAACACGAAGACCTTCTATGCCTATTTGGCAAACCACCCAAGAGACCGCGTTACGCAGCGGGCTGTCCGACTTCAGCATTGACATGTGAGCAGTCCCTCGACGACCCTTCCAACACCCGGGCTGGCCAGATCGACAACTCCGAACCGGCGGTCATCAACGAAGAGGTGGGGGGAGCGATAAGTAACAAAGGCGCGGTCGACGAGGTGGCGATAGCTCCAAGGGAGGCTTCGGAGGTAGCAAGGGCAGCTTGGGAAGAGTACCGTAGGCGGTTGCAGCAACAGCAGGACACTCGCAGAAGCGGCCGACCTGAGAGGTTAACGCCGCACAGTGCGGGCTCGACCGACGCTGCAATCCCCCTGGTTGTGCCACGTCTTGCACGGCGACATGAGTGGAAGCGCCGGAGGGCGGCAAGGAGAGACAGGCAGCAGGAGCCGCTAGTGGGGGGCTGGCAAGACCTGCCAGTGGGCAAGCAGCATGGGGTTTAGGAGGGGGCCCGGCAGCCGCCGGTGGGGATGGGACAGCAGGGGTTGCAAAGCGGTGGGCAGCAGGAGCTGCAGAGCGGAGGGCAGCAGCAGCTGCCGAGCGGAGGGCAACAGCCCAAGCAGAGCGGAGGGCAGCAGGGGATACAGGCTGGGGGGCAGCAGGAGCTGCAGGCTGGGGTCCAGCAGGAGCGGCAGGCCGGGGGGCAGCAGGAGCTGCAGGCCGGGGGGCAGCAGGAGCTGCAGGCCGGGGGGCAGCAGGAGCTGCGGGCCGGGGGGCAGCAGGAGCTGCAGGCCGGGGGGCAGCAGGAGCTGCAGGCTGGGGGGCAGCAGGCGTTGGCGACGGCGATGGTGGAACCACAGGCCGCGGGGCAGCAAGAGCCGCGAAGCGGAGGGCAGCAGCAATTGCAGAGCGGAGAGCAGCAATGGCTGCAGGCTGGGGGCCAGCAGGCGTTGGTGACGGAGATGGAGGTGGAGTCACATGCCGGGGGGCAGCAGGAGCTGCAAAGCGGAGGGCAGCAGCAGCTGCGCATCGAAGGGCAGCGGACGCTGCCGAGTGGAGGGGAGCATCCAAGGAACGGGCAGCCGGAGCTGCCAGGAGAAGGGCAGCTGCCGGCGAGGGAGAAGCAAGCGGCAAACGTGGAAATGGCCGAGCTATCACGAGCCGTGGAAATGCCACGAGCGGAGCGGCAGAAGCTGCAAACGGGAGGGTGGCGGGAGCTGCCGGCGCAGGGTCAGCGGGAGGTCACGAATTCGGATGCTGTAAGCCAAGCGAGCAGAACCCGGGCACAGGGCCGAGGCGGGAGTCGACGTTCCTGCAAATCGCAAGGGCAGATTGGAAGCGGGGCTGCCGCACAGCAGGCAGAGGGGCAGCCGGGGGCACCCGGTGCACCCCAGGGAGAGCGGCAGGCAGGGGGGCAGCTGATGGTGCCCGGAGCACCCCAGGGAGAGCAGCAGGCAGGAGGGCAGCCGGGGGTGCCCGGAGCACCCCAGGGAGAGCAGCAGGCAGGGGGGCAGCTGAGGGTGCCCGGAGCACCCCAGGGAGAGCAGCAGGCAGGAGGGCAGCCGGGGGTGCCCGTAGCACCCCAGGGAGAGCAGCAGGCAGGAGAGTAGCAGGCAGGGGGGCAGCTGAGGGTGCCCGGAGCACCCCAGGGAGAGAAGCAGGCAGGAGGGCAACCGGGGGTGCCCGGAGCACCCCAAGGAGAGCAGCAGGCAAGAGGGCAGCCGGGGGTGCCTGGAGCACCCCAGGGAGAGCAGCAGGCAAGAGGGCAGCCAGGGGTGCCCGGAGCACCCCAGGGAGAGCAGCAGGCAGGAGGGCAACCGGGGGTGCCCGGAGCACCCCAGGGAGAGCAGCAGGCAGGGGGACAGCAAGAGCTGCCCGGAGGTCAACAAGCATTGGCAGCAGAGATGGAGGTGGAGCAAGGGGTCGGGGAGCAGCAGGAGCTGCAGGAGCTGGAGGTGGAGATGGAGGAGCCGCAAGAGGAGGCGCGAGAGGAGCTGCCGGTATGCATGCAGGAGGGGAGTCATACAGACAATCAACCCCAGTCGCAGGCAGGGCGGCAAGGGTGTTATGAGGGGAACCAGCCCTTGCCTGGAAGCGTGCAACAGGGGTTGCCGACGAGTGAGTCGCAGGAGTTGCAGGTGCAGAATCAGCAGGGGGTCACTAACCCGGGCGGCACAGGCCAAGCCGAAGGGTCGCGGGTGTGAAAGAAACTATAACAAGAATGAATGAACTATGAATGAAGTGAGTACATATAGGAAACCCTGATTGGGTTGTACCCCCTATGGGATACCCCACTATAGCCTACACGAATATATAAGCTATAATGTTCTGACACACCCCCATAGGCAAAGTGGGGGAGAACAAGGGGTCACAAGACCAGTCAAGCAAAGCAAAGCAAAGCTCAGGGTGGATCACAAAGTCACCACACATTCCGAGCACAAGTTCAAAGGCCAGAAGGCCAGTTCACATGCAAGATCACGTATATATATATATACAAGAGGCTAAGCAAGCAAGAGCAAGAGTATATATATGTGACAGTACAAGCAAGGTCAAGAAGTGAGCAAGTGAGGCAAGACAGGCACAAGACCCAGCTGAGTGCAGAAGCGCTGATGATCACAAGGCGCAAGTGCCTTGGTGAAGACATCAGCAGTGTTGGCCTCAGAGGCCACGTACGCAAGCCGCAACTGTCCACGCTGCTGTAGCTCACGAGCAAGAAAGTAGCGGAGAGCAATGTGCTTTGTTCTGTGCTCCAGTCGCTGCTCTCGACACAAGGCCAGCATGGCCTTGTTGTCTACGTACAGGACTGGAGGAGAACGAGGCGGCTCTCCAAGGTCGGTCAGCAGGTAGGTGAGCCAGCGGAGATCCTGGGCAGCCATAGCCCCGGCGTAGATCTCAGCCTCACAACTGGAGCCGAGAACAGAAGACGAGCGGGTGGCCCGCCACGAAACAGAGCCGGAACCAAGACTGAAAGTGTAACCCTGTGACGACCGCTGCGTAGCCTGGTCGTCAGCCCAAGAGGCGTGCGCGTGCCCAGTGAGGACCACTGGACTCCGCCCTCCAAGTACTAGCCCCATGCCCGACGTACTGCACAAGTAGCGCAACACCCTCTTCGCTGCAGCCATGTGCTCTGGTCGGTGTCTCCCAGGAGCAACATAGCGTGCGAGAATGCTAAGAAGGTATGCAAGGTCAGGTCGTGTGCAGGTCATCAGGTACATGAGGCAGCCAACAAGCTCTGGATACGGGCCACTCGACTCTACGGACTCATCCGAAGGCAGAGCTGAGAGCGAGTGGCGAGTAGGCAGAGGAGTGGCCTGAGGCGAGGAGTACGTGAAGCCGAAGCGCTGAAGGACCTGCTGCACCATGTGTGACTGAGTCAAGGTAATGGTGCGGCGTGCTCTGTCCCGGGTGATCTGCAAGCCAAGGTAGCTGCGCAGTTCACCCAGGTCAGTGCACGTGTGTCTCTTCTGCAGCTCGGACTTCACGTAGGCGAGTCCAGCAGTGTCAGCTGTGGCAAAGACCAAGTCGTCGACGTACACGAGGATGTAGAACGGCGGCAGAGAGGTGTCGGTGCGCAGAAACAGCGACGGGTCGGCAGTAGAAGGAGCAAACCCAAGTGCCGCCAGTGTAGTCCTCAGTGTGTCGTGCCACTCACGTGGCGCCTGGCGGAGACCGTAGACTAGACGCCGGAGACTCCACTGGGTACCAGGAGGGAACGACCCAGTGAAGCCAGGTGGGCGGCGCAGCCAGATCTCCTCGTGCAAGCTGCCCTGCAAGAAAGCAGTGCTGAAGTCGAGAGAGTGCAGCTCGTAGTCACGGTGAGCAGCAACGTGCAGCAGTACCCGAAGAGTGGTCATCTTCGGGGTAGGGGAGAAGTTCTGAAAGTAGTCAACTCCCTGCCGCTGACTAAAGCCACGAGCCACGTAACGCGCCTTGAAGACAGGCGGAGAACCCGGCGGCCGCTTCACCCTGAAAATCCACATGCCACTGACGATGTTCGCCCCAGGAGGGGGGACAGCGTCAACGTAGGTGCCTGTGGACTTCCAGGAAGCCATCTCTGCATCCATAGCTGCCTGCCACTGAGAGGAGTAGGGACCCTCTATCGCCTCCGCGTAAGAGCGCGGAGTCGGGATGTCAAGTGCATCCGGGTCTCCCTCAGGGGTAAGCAGTACGGACACGAGATGAGGTGAAGCAGCGGCCAGACACTGGAACTCCTCCTGCCTGTCCTCAAGGACGTCCGTGCCAAGGGCACACTCACCCCCGACGGACGGAGGACAGACAGACTCAGACTCAGCGACAAGACTCGCACGGTATTCTAGGTGACAGCGAGCAGCAAAGTCGACGAGCTCAGTAACAAGGGCAGACGCAGTAGTAGACTCGAAAGAAGGGTCAGTGACAGCAGTAGCAAGGAGACGCGTGACAGTAGGACTGGCAGCACGAAGAGAGTCCGACTCCGGGTCGGCAAGAGCAGGAAGAGAGGACACAGGAGGAGAAGGCAAAGGGGCACGCAGAGGAGCAATGGACGGACGCAGAGACATCCGGTGCGTGCCAAGGACAGGAGGAGGACGTTGGCGCGAACCGCGACCACTAGCGCGCGCAGCACGAACAGGCGACGCAGGACGAGACGCAGGCTCACGACGCTCAGTAAGACCTCCAGTAGGACCAGCGTAGGGAGAAGGAGCAGGCAAAGGGGAGGCAGGTTGTAGCTGTGACTGTCACTGGACAGGCTGTGGACCCTCTAAGGGAGGAGGAGGAGGACCAGTAGAAGGTGTAAGACCAAGAACCTCCTGCAGGAGTGGAACGAAGTACGGTCGAGGCCGCGTGGCGACGCCAGAAACAGCTGGGACAGCACCAGGACCCCCAGCAGGAGTGCCCGCTCCAGCAGCACCTCCAGTAGCTCCAGCACCTCCAGCAGCACCTCCAGCAGCTCCAGAACCCCCAACAGCACCTCCAGCAGCTCCAGAACCTCCAGCAGCAGCAGGAGCACCCCCAGCAGGACCGCGAGTGGTAGGCTCAGCGCCAACACCCCCAGCAGCACCAGCTCCAGTCGAACCTGCAGGCCCAGCAGCTCCAGTACTCCCACGACGAGCACCTCCGGGACCCGCGACAGCAGCACCCTCAGTAGCCGACGAACCTCCAGCACAAGCAGCACGGCTCCAGCGCCGGGCAAACCACTCGCGCAGCTCCTGTGGAGAGACTGGCTCCCGGCGAGACGAAGCACCCGGAGAACCTCCAAGCGGAGCACCTCCAGGCACAGCACCCCCAGGTCCAGCACCCCCAGGCAAAGCACCCCCAGGCTCAGCACCCCCAAGCCCAGCACCCCCAGGCGTAGCACCCCCACGCTCAGCACCCCCAGGCTCAGCACCCCTAGGCTCAGCACCCCCAGTAGCCGAAGAACCTCCAGCACAAGCAGCACGGCTCCAGCGCCGAGCAAACCACTCGCGCAGCTCCTGTGGAGAGAGTGGCTCCCTGCGAGACGAAGCACCCGGAGAACCTCCAGGCGAAGCACCTCCAGGCTCAGCTCCCCCCGGCCCGGCACCCCCAGGCAAAGCACCCCCAGGCGTAGCACCCCCAGTCTCAGCACCCCCAGGCTCAGTACCCCCAGGCTCAGCACCCTCAGCAGCACCAGAGTCACCAGTGACCTCGACAGGCTCGACTGCGTCTACCTGTGACACACCTGAAGGGGCAGGACCCTGAGGGGGGAGGGGGTCTACCTGGGGGGGACCTGGTACCAGGAAGAGCGGGGGCGGGGGGAGGGACGGAGTGCGGTAGGGGAAGAGGCGGTAGTAGGGGACCGACTCGTCAAACGTGACGTCCTGGGAGGACAGAACACGGCAAGAGGTGGGGTGGTAGAACTGCCACCCAGGCGCGTCAGGGGGGAACCCCAGGAAGACGCAAGGAGCACCACGAGGGGACAGTTTGTCCGCAGACAAGTCGCGGACAAACGCCCGAGATCCCCAGACCCGGAACGCCGACGCATCGCCAACCTTCCCCGTCCACAGCAAGGCTGGGGAGGTCTCCGGCCTGGAGACCCTGGGGTGAAGGTTGATCTGATGCGCCGCGTACCTCACCGCAAACGGCCACAGAAAATGGGGGGCAGCTGCATGCATCATAGACGTACGAGCGACGTCCATGACCATGCCAATGCGGCGCTCAGCAATCCCATTTTGCTGTGGAGAGTCCGGAAGCGTGAAGGTCTGACGGATGCCCCGTGCGCGACAATAGGCTCTCAGAAGGCCAGAGGAAAACTCTCCGCCTCTGTCCGAGTGTAGACGCAGAACAGGAAAGTCCGAGCCAAAGCTCTGCCTGAGCTGGAGACGAGCTGCGCGGATCCAGTCGATCAGCACCTCAGTGACATCACGCGTGCTGCGCAAGGGTAAGACTGCGGTGTAACGCGAGTAGTCGTCAACAACTAGCAGGAAGTAGCGCTCGTGACCCTGTCCACGAACGCGGGCTGGGCCCCACACGTCCATGTGAATCGTCTTCAACGGGGCCTCTGTCGGAGGAAACTGGGAGGAGGGAGGGGCAGCACGCTGGCGCCCCTCAACACAGGGGACACAGGTAGGGCCAGGGCCCTGAGGAAGGGGAGGGAGGGACCGGGGGAGACCAGAAACAAGAAGACGAGAGGCCATGCCTCTAAGCCAAAGCAGAGAGGGGTGACCAAGGCGGTGGTGCCAGAGGAGAGTCTCGTGAGACAGGAGATGATACGAACAGGGGGCAGACTCAAGACCAGACCTGGACGCTGCAGCAAACACCTGACCCGACGCAGCTACCCTACCAGACTCAGTAACTGGAGGAGACGCAGTGGTCAGTGTGTACAGGCTCGACCCCGGCCGACGAGTAAACGTGGCCAGGTGTCGGCCTGTCCGAGCGTCTGTGCAGTGGGTCACCCGCTGACTCGCAGGAGTGAACTGGTGAACCCCCGCATCCTGCAGGTCAGCACCACTCACCAAGTTCGTAGAGAACGAGGGGAGGTAAAGACCAGACAGGGTGCCAGAGGGGGCCGCCGGACACGGGAGGACAGTGGAGAAGTGAGCAAGGACAGGGCCCCCAGAGGGGTCTGCCAGAGAGACTGCAACTGGCCGACCAAGCGGCGTGAGTGTGGTGCGGTCTCTAAAGAAGGAGCGGGAAGCCCCCGAGTCAAGGGTGAAGGTGTGAGAGGCCGGAGCCGACGCGGTACCTGAGAGAGCAGACTCACCCGCACCTGAGGAAGCAGACTCACTAGCACCTAGAGCAGCAGCCGCACCTGTACCTGGAGCAGGAGACACACTAGCACCCAGAGCAGCAGCCGCACCAGCAGCTAGAGCAGCAGACTCTATACCCGGGTCAGGCGGTACGCACAGGTGACCGGCACGGTCAGCACTAGTAGGCAATGCATACATGGCAGTGAGAATAGCATCATAGTCAAAAGCAAATAGATATACCCTCTGCCTAAGCAACTCTACCCAGTCGGGGAGCTCAGCCTCGTCGCCAAACTCGGTACGCCAGGCGTCGTTCAGACGGGCGAAGCAGCGGGACGGTGTATGACTAGGCGTCCCACAAGGCTGACCAGTCCGAGCACCAGTGCGAATCACGTAAGAGCAGCGAACAGAACTGAGAGACCCTCTACTCTGAGCGTACCACTCACGAAGCTGCTGGGGCGTGAGAGACGCGCGTGGGCGTCGCTGGAGCTGCATCTGGCCGCCGCCAGTAGAAGCAGTACAGGTTAGCAGCAGTAAGGAAGGCAGGGGCTCACCAGTGGTGGGAAGAGCAAGCTCGACGACTCGGCGACTCGCAACTCGGCGGCACGGCGGCACTGCAGTAACTGCGGCTCGGCGGCTCGGGCGACCCGGGCGGCTCGGCTGCTCGGGCGACTCGGGCGGCTCGGCGGCTCGGCGGCTTGGGTGGCTCGGGCGGCTCGGGCGGCTCGGGCGGCTTGGGCGGCTCGGGCGGCTCGGGCGGCTCGGCTGCTCTGCGCTCGGCTGCTGGGCTGCTCAGCGGCTCGGCTACGGCTCGGCTGCTGGGCTGCTCGGCGGCTCAGTGGGGGGGGCGGCTCGGCAATGCAGCAGGTGACGGGCCGGGGCAGCTGTGCGGGGCCGGGACGCGCGGTGCACGGGCGGCGTGGGGCCGGGACGTGCGGTGCACGTGCGGCGTGGGGCCGGGACGGCGGCGCGCTGCCGGAACGGGCGGCGCACGGGCGGCGTGGGGCCAGGACGGGCGGCGCACGGGCGGAGTGGGGGCCGGGACGACGGCGCGGGGCCGGGACGGGCGGCGCACGAGCGGCGTGGGGCCGGGACGGGCGGCTCACGGGCGTCGACGGGCTGGAGCAGCGGCGCGCGGTCGGGACGGGCGGAGCGCGGGCGGCTAAGGGCCGGGACGGGCGGCGCGCGGGCGGCTAGGGGCCAGGACGGGCGGCGCGCGGGCGGCTAGGGGCCAGGACGGGCGGCGCGCGGGCGTCTAAGGGCCGGGACGGGCGGCTAAGGGCCGGGACGAGCGGCGCGCGGGCGTCTAAGGGCCGGGACGGGCGGCGCGCGGGCGTCTAAGGGGCCGGGACGGGCGGCGCACGTACGGTTAGGGGCCGGGACGGGCGGCGCGCGGGCGGCTAGGGGCCGGGACGGGCGGTGCGCCAGAAAAGAAAGAGGCCGCGCGCCCCGAGGCGCGCGCCAAAGTGCAAATCGCCGCGCGCAATGCGTCGCACGCCACGGGGCGTGCGACAGAGCATGTAGCAGCGGAAGCAGTAGTACCCACAGGCCGAGAGCGTAACCGCTCTGATACCATGTGAAAGAAACTAGAACGAGAATGAATGAACTATGAATGAAGTGAGTACATATAGGAAACCCTGATTGGGTTGTACCCCCTATGGGATACCCCACTATAGCCTACACAAATATATAAGCTATAATGTTCTGACAGCGGGCACGGCGCCTAAGGGGGCGACGACAGGGAGGGCAGCGGGATGGGGGCCAGCCGGGGGCGACCCGGGCACTCCAGGGAGAGCAGCAGCCAGGGGGGCAGCCAGGGGTCACTGGGGCACCCCAGAGAGCGAAGCAGCCAGGGGGGCAGCCGGGGTCGACCAGAGCACCCCAGGGAGCGCAGCAGTCAGGGGGGCAGCCGGGGTTGACCGGAGCACCCCAGGGAGCGCAGCGGTCAGGGGAGCAGCCGGGGTTGACCGGAGCACCCCTGGGAGCGAAGCAGCCAGGGGAGCAGCCGGGGTTGACCGGAGCACCCCAGGGAGAGCAGCAGCCAGGGGGGCAGCCGGGGGAGACCGGGGCACCCCTGAGAGCGAAGCAGCCAGGGGGGCAGCCGGGGTCGACCGGAGTACCCCAGGGAGCGCAGCAGTCAGGGGGGCAGCCGGGGTTGACCGGAGCACCCCAGGGAGCGCAGCGGTCAGGGGAGCAGCCGGTGTTGATCGGAGCACCCCTGGGAGCGAAGCAGCCAGGGGAGCAGCCGGGGTTGACCGGAGCACCCTTGGGAGCAAAGCAGTCAGGGAAGCAGCCGGGGTTGACCGGACCACCCCTAGGAGCGAAGCAGTCTGGGGGGCAGCCGGGGGTGACCCGAGCACCCGAGGGAGAGCAGCAGCCAGGGGGGCAGCCAGGGGTGGCCGGGGCACCCCAGGGAGCGCAGCAGTCAGGGGGGCAGCCGAGGGTGACCCAAGCACCCCAGGGAGAGAAGCAGGGATGGGGGCAGCCGGCGGCGACCGGAGCATCCCAGAGAGAGCAGCAGCAAGGGGGGCAGCCGGGGGCGATCAGAGGGCCCCAGGGAGAGCAGCAGCGAGGGGGGCAGCCGGGGGTGACTGGAGCACCCCAGGGAACGCAGCGGCCGGGTGGGCAGTCAGGTGTGACGGGTGGATCCCAAGGAGAGCAGCGGCCAGGGGGGGAGTTGATGGACAACCTGGAGCAGCAGTTGGTGGAGTGGAGCCGACTTTTGGAGTTAGATACTCCCATGGCGACTGCGGAGGAGCCAGAGGAAGACGGAGAGCCTCCCATACCGCCTTTCCTATGCCCTCGTTTTCCGTGTGACACGTGTTTTCACACGTTCGCTACGTGAGGGGCCGTTGCGAACCACATGAGGCTATGCAGGGCGGCTGAGGCAGAGAGGCGCGCGCAGGCACTTGGCTCGATCCCGTCCCTGGTGGAGACCGACACGCAGGAGAGACCGACGCCGCGGGACTTTGGGGACGAGGCATGGCCCGGGGTTACCTCATGGGACTGGGAAGCATTTTTCAGTGTGGAGGCGGTGGGAGGGAGGACAGTGCACCGGATCCCACAGCGGGCCCGGGCGGGGGTCTTGGACGCGCTCTGCTGCATCTTGAAGCATATGAAGAGCCGGCCAGGGGATGAAGCCGCTACCCTCCTGCTCTTGGCGTTTCCGCGCCTCATTCTAGCCGTGCCTCCCAAGCCAAGCATAGGTCAGAAGGCGTTGATAATAGAGCGGCTGGGGGCGTTCTGGGAGGGGAGGTTGTCAGATTCCCAGCCACTAGACCATTGGAATAAAAGGGCTTGTTTCAGTAGCGGGTCAGTGCGCCCATAACCCCCCAGGCGAACGCGCCTGTAACCCTCTCTGGGATCAATCGGGCATCCACAGTGCAGATCTACTGACACCCCCCCACACTGAGAGGCCCAGGACTAAGCACAGCGGCAACGGCCTACATGTGCATACACCGGGAATCGAACCCGAGACCGCTGTGATACCATGTCAGAATCCCAACCACTAGACCATTGGGATAAAAGGGCTTGTTTCAGTAGCAGGTCAGTGCGCCCATAACCTCCCAGGCGAACGCGCCTGTAACCCTCTCCGGGATCAATCGGGCATCCATAGTGCAGATCTACTGACAGAGGTGGCGGGAGCTGTTCGACTCTGCCATGGCAGCGGCGCGGCCAGCAGTTCGTCCACTCGCCTACACTTGCTCTGACCAGGACCCGGATGCCATCCGCCTGTCACGCTGCCGAGCTCGGTGTAAAGTGGAAGAGTGGAGTCGTGGATTGGCTTGCCTTACAGCAGGAGAGTTGGCGCGACCGTCTGAGGCCATGGTGCAGTCGCTGCAAGACAAGCACCCTGCTAGCACTGGCGAGGTACCACAGTGGGTCCGTGATTTCACCGTCGATGCTCCTCAGCGGCCTCTACTGACGACCGGCGTCCTGGCCAGAGCCATTCATACAGCCGCTCGCGCTTCAGCAGCAGGGCCATCTGGGTGGGTCACAGAGCATCTGCGCGACACCTTCCTCACTGAACCTTCCTGCCTTTTCCACCTATTGGAGGTGTTCAACCAATGGGTGGCAGGACAGGTCCCCGAGCGGGCACGGCCCTGGCTTGCCGCATCCAACCTAGTTGGGCTTTCCAAGCCTAACGGCGACGTCCGGCCGGTGGCAATTGGGGAGGTGCTTCCGCATATCCTTGCTCGAGCTCTTTGCATCTCGCTCTGTCCTGCGATGGCTTCCTACTTTCTGCCGTGCAACCACCTGGGAGCGGGCACCAGGGTTGGGGTGGAGATTCTTACTCATTCTTTCCGGTCAGCGCTGGCCACTCACCCCGATTGGTGTGCGCTGCAGATAGATGTCGCGAACGCCTTCAATTCTTTTCACCGTCATGCGATGTTTGAGGGGCTGCGGGAGTCGCCTTTCTCGGGGTTGATCCCATTCTTGCGTGTTTTCTACGGGACATCTAGCGACCTGTACCTCCGAGCGGGCCCTTTTGTACAGAGTCTTGAGTCGGCACGGGGTTCGCGGCAGGGGGATCCGCTCGGCCCTTTTCTCTTTACGTTCACGCAGCAGCAGGTGATGGAGTCGGTGATTAGAGAGTTCAGGGACATACTTTTCCTCAGTTATGCGGACGATATCTATATCCTGGGACCAGCGGCTAGGATCTTAGAGGCTTTTGGGGTGCTGCGGGAGCGATTGGAGTGGGTGGGGCTGGAGGTGCAGGCGCACAAGTGCCGGTTTTGGGAGCGCGAAGGCGGGGATGTGGAGCGGGCACTGCCATTGGGGATGCAGCGGATGGAGGGTCTCACTGTGGTGGGCGTACCTATTGGGGAGGAGGATTGGGAGGTGGCCCGATTACGGGAGCGGCTTCGACAGTTGCAGGGGCCATTGCCATGGCTCCCCCTGCTTGACCACCCCGAGATGGCTTCACATCTCCTCGCCATTGCAGTTTCAGCACGGCCGATGTACCTGGCCCGGACTATGCCGCCGCGTCCGGATGTGGTGGAGGCCTTTAGGGATCGGGTCAGCTGTCTGGAGGATTGCTTCGAGCAGCTTTTCCCACCTGGCACTTGGGAGCAGGACCCCGACTGGTCTAGGCGCGCGCGCATGCAGCTGCATCTTCCTGTGCGACTCGGAGGGTTTGGGATCAGGGCGGCGGCCTCTTTGAGCCCGCTGTCCTATGTTTGTGGGTGGGCGCAGGCCGCGCGTGATGTTGCACAGTTGGGGGTGGCGGGGGAAGAAGCGATGTTTGCATAGTACCTCACCACCTCGGGAGGGGCGGAGTTTCTTGATCCTTGGTTTGCCAAGGCTATTGAGCAGCTGCCAGCGACTATACGCCAGGAGATGCCGGGCTTACCTCTGTGTACAGCGGCTCCCCCTCTTCGACTTTTCCAGACGCGGCAGCGGCAGTTGGCTGTAGAGGAGCTCCAGGCTCGTGACGATGCCACCCTGGCCCGTTTCACATCCCTTCAGGGCCCGGGGGCTGGTGCATGGGTTTCGGCGGTCCCGGCTCACTCAGATCTCACATTCACTGCGGCAGAGTGGGGCATTGCTGCTGCTGTACGGCTCAGGCTCCCAATTCAGCAACTGCAGGTTGCGGGGAGGTGTGTTTGTGGCACATCGTATGTTGACCCAGCAGACCCGCATCATGCCTTGAGATGCAAGCACCAGCACGGTCCATCTCGGGTGCATGATGAGGTGAAATTTGCAGTGGCAAGGATCTCTAAGGTGTCAGGGGGGGTGGTGACGATGGAGGATAGTGTGGTGTTGCCGAGGAAGCGGGTTGACATGGCGGTGCGACGACCAATGGCCGGGGAGGCTCACGCTCTAGAGATCAGCGTCGCGGACCCGCTATTGCTGTCTCCATCTCTGCTAGGGCAGTGCGGTCGTTCTATTGGTGTGGCGGCAAGGGAGTGGGAGCGTCCCAAAACGAGTGATTACGCGCCTCTGCTTGCACGCAACCGGGGCATGCAGTTCACTCCTTTGATAGTAGAGACGTGGGGGTGTCTTGGCGGGCGTTTCCGGCGGTGGCTTCGATGACAGGGGGATGCGCACGTGGGGCTAGCCATGTCACGGGGGGGCTTGTCGGGAGGATGACTTTTCGTTTTTGGCTTATCTTTTTGGGTCTCTGAAGGCGCTCATTGGGGTAGCGTTACAACAGGCACAAGCTCGTGTCATCCTGCTTCGAGCGGCGTCTTCTATGGGGGGGATGAATGTGGACTTGGTGGACCGGGAGAATGACGACGTCGAGGAGGAGGGTGGGGCTCTTTGGGTGGAGGCCCTGTATATGGTGGATGCGCAAATGTGAAATGGGGTGCGGGATGGGGTGTGTTGATGGGGTGTCCTGACTGGGTGTTCAGTTTGGGTATTTTGATGAGGATTTTTAAGGGTGTTGCGTTTGGTTTTTTTTTCTGGTAGTTTTACTCTTTTTCATTAGGTACCATGGACCTCCGTCGCCAAACTAGGAACGTGAGAATGAATGACTAAAGAATGAGCAAACAGGAAAGATACAGGAAACCTAACCTTACGACTAATAGAATTGTACACCACCTAGACCAAAAATACACACTTACATACATTATAGTTTGACACCTCGCGCTCCACTCGACGAAGACCGTGGAAATGCGTCGGGTAGCGGCGGGGAGGCGGAGTAGGCACCGAAAGAGCAGCGCCTCCAGCTACAGCCTCCTCAAAACTAGCACCTCCAGCGCCAGCACCAATAGCTCTAGCACCACCAGTGTCAGCGCCTCCAGATCTAGCACCCCCAGAATTAGCACCTCAAGTGCTAGTACCTCCAGCTCCAGCACCCCGACAACTAGCACATCCAGTTCTTGGACCTCCAGCTCCAGTACCTGCAGAACTAGCAGCCCTATCGCTTATGCCTCTAGCACCAACACCTTCAGAACCAGCACACCCAGCGCCCGGGCCTCCAACAACAACTCCCTCAGAACCAGCACCTCCAGCGCCCGTGTCTCCAGCACCAATACCACCAGGTTCCGCGCAACTTGTCGCAATAGCGCCGAAAGCTGCTACGGTGACCGTGAGGACGATTGTGGGGAAGGAGAAGACACCTGACATGGTACCACGGGGAGAGGGATAGTGTGAGACACACCTGATAGGACAGGGATTGGGGGGGAGGTTGTACCAGAGGAGCAGGAGCACGAGGAGGAGCAGGAGCTAAAAAGAGGGGATGGGGGGGGGGAACCGGGAGACTTTGGTGAGGGTCGCGGACATAGTAGGACACAGACTCGTCAAAGCAGACGTCACGGGAGTCAAGGAATTGGTGGAGCGGTGGGTGGTAAAATTCGAAGTCAAAGGAGTCCACGCGAAAACCAAGGAAGACATACGGGAGGGAGCTAGCTGAGAGCTTGTCCGCAAAGGTATTGCGGACATGTGCAAGGCAGCCCCAGACATGGAAATCCGACGCAACACTAGTGGACACGGTCCAAAGACTGGTCGGTGAAGCCTTTGGCCGTGAGGCACGAAGCTAGAGGTTCAGCAGGTAGGCAGCGTAGCGAACCTCATAGGGCCACAGAAAATGGGGCACACAGGCGTGGATCATGGAGGTGAAGGCGATCTCCATGACCAAGCCAATGCGGCGCTCAGCAACCCCATTCTGCTGTAGGGACTCTAGAAGCGTCCAAGACTGGGTGATGCCCTGCTCACTACAAAACCCGGCAAGCACGTCAGAACGAAACTCACCCCCACGGTCGGAGTGGAGACGCACGACACGATTACCATGCGTGGCACTAGTGGCAAGCAACCACCTGATCAGAGTAGAAAGCAAGTCTGACTTCTTCCGTGGAGGAAGCTTTCCCTCCCAGGCCCAGAGCGAGGGGCAGGGCCCCATACGTCCAAGTGAAGAGTCTGGAAGAACGCGGTGGCTGGGCGAAGGGAAGAGGAGTGAGGAGTGGCGCGCAGCCGACCTTCGACGGGGGGAGCGACGCAAAGACACGCGGAAGACCTGTGACAAGAGCTGGCTAAACATGCTACGTAGTAGTGGGAGGGACGGGTGGCCAAGACAGTGGTGCCATAGGACTGTCGCGTGGGAGAGTGACTGACAGGAGCACACCGCAACAACCTGACCAGGCGTAGCTACCTGTCTAGGCACAGCAACTAGGGCAGACGCAGTGTGTAGTGTGAAGAGACTTGAGTGGGCCTCGCGGCGAAAAGTGGCTAGAGTCGACCAAATGGCACTGTTCACGCAGATTGCAACACGCTCGTGCGGACGAAACCAGGTGCCAACACCGAGGTCTCGAAGGGGTCCCACAGTCACAATGAGAATCTAGGCTAAGCTTAGTAACTGGGGTATAGTTAGGGCCTAGGCTTAGTAGCCTAGGCCAAGGGTATCGAGAGTAGCGTGAGCGGGATGATTGGCTAAAAGGGTGGTTTCACTATAGGTTTGCAAAAACACATAGCAAAGAAACAAGAGAAGGTGCTCCATCAACAGTGAGAAGGCATTTCTACACTAAAGCTAAAGCTACAGGAACTTATAAATATACATTTAATATATAACGCGACACCCACACCCACCAAGTTCCTAGAGAACGAGGGGATCTGGAGACCAGCGAGGACACCAGAGGGGACAGCCGGGCATGGGAGAGTGGTAGAGCTGCCGGCCACTGCAGCTCCTGAAGTAAGATCAGTCAGGCAACCGGAACCGGAGCAGGTAGCAGTGTGACAATCGTATGGTCGCGGAAGAAACATTGAGACATGCCAGAGTCCAACGTGAAGGAGAGTGACGCATCAGCCGCATGTACACCTGGGCTGGTAACTACACAAGCACCTAGATTAGAAACACAATTACATATACTAGCAACAGGCAAGGACCCTAGACTACAAACACACGAGCAAACATATCCATGAGCACTATAGTCAGCATCATCATACATCCCGAATCAGATTGCAAAGCATCAAGCAACTCTACTGCAGACATCTCAAACAACGCCAGGCCACAAGAGCAAACTAGCGGGGCACAGTCCCGAGAGGGGTCAAAGCCACACTCAGCACGGAGACAGTCTGTAAGCTGCGCAAAGCACTAATCCGGAGGGTGAAGACGGCCATGGGGCTGGCCCTAACGAGTGCCAGCCTGGACAACGTACAGGCAGGGAGGAGGAGTGACACCACGCGACGCCCAACGGTGTGGGCCACCGCCACGACCAGCGCTCCCTGGTCCGCCAGGTCCCCATTGCGGAGAATTTTGCTGCACTTGCCGCTAAACTTGTTGCTGCGGCTGCCCCTGCTGCTGCTAGTATCCCTGCTATAGGTGTTGCTCCTGTGACTATTGTCGCTGCTGTGACTGCAGTTATTATTGTGCTATGTACCAGTCAACTGGTCCATCACCACCACCCGTGGGGCCTGCAGGCCCACTAACACCTCTAGTGCTGCCTCCACTAGACGCACTAGTACCGCCGCTACCTCCAACACCCCCTCCGCCACCACCGCCGTCCCTGGGGGGGAGCTGGGGGACAATACACCCCTAAAAGAGTGGGGGAACTATGGCGCCGAAAGTGGAGGCAACGGAGCAGATGTTGCTCTTTATGTCCTTGAGAGCGGTCTCAAGGACATCGAGAGTGAGCTCACTAGGGTGTTTTCGAAGAAGCGAGTCGTGTACAGGTTCAAGGCAGTCAGGGATGCTAGTGGCTATGAAGTGAATAGTGATGTCTAGGGGGGGGGAGGGGGTGGGGGCGAATGCAAGCTGAGCCTCAGTACAAGCAGCACGGTAGCTAGTGTCGAGCGAGCGCAGGTGGGCGACAATGTGAGAGTACGACGGCTTATGTCAGCTATGCTTGCTTGCCTCTACTTTATCATGTTATTTCTAGCATAGGATAATCATATGCATGCATGAATTGCTTGATTTCCTAGGCTAGGTGCTTTCCTATATTTTATTATAGTTATAGCACCGAGCTAGGTTGCGTGCACCGAATTCTGGCTTTTCGGTTGCCACCGAATTGCCTTCTACCGAATTCGGTAAGGATCCGTTCGGGACGCTTTGCGACCCGCGGAGCCTTCGCGTAACACCTTGTTACGGGGCCTTGTGTCGAGCCTATATATAGCCTCGTGTTGTACCCAGGTGGACATTCAATTCAATTCAATTTGAATCATCTTTTCTGAGCTCGATCCCGGATCCTCACACTTGGTAATCAGAGCGGGTTTACACGCGAGGTCTTCAACCGCTTAGTTCCGGCCTTTAAAAACCGCGGGGGCGACAACGAAAGCGCCGATACGGGTACGTAAAACCAGTTCCGCGCAATTTTTCTAAGTCCCCCTCAATTCGGTTTTCGAACACCCCTCTGATTTACTAGTGGAAAGGTTGGAGTTTCGACCGTCCGATCGAGTTTCATCTCAACGGCCCAGAGAATTTCGCCCAAAAAAGTTGGAATTTGGAACGTCGGATCGATTTTCTCCTCAACAGCCAAGATCGGACGCGAATTTCGCCTAAGGGAGATTTACGCAACCTACACAATTCGTGCTCGTCGATTCTACAGTCAATTTGACTCGCAGTAAGTCGACCAGCACCTAGAATTCGATTATTTTCATCGCGCATCTTCCTGTAAATCGCCAAATGGAGGAAAAAAGAGATATTTCAGTACAGAAAATCGCGGAGTTACGTGCTGAGCATAAGCAAATACATGCGGCGCTCCCACGACTCGAAAAACTCCTTGCGAACCTGTCGGCAACCGCCATAGCAGCAGCAACAACAGTAGGAGCAGCAGCAGCGGCTACACCGACAATTCTACATGCGACAACGGCAGCAGCTACAGTTAACCTCGAAGCAGTGAAGCTGAGGCTACCAGAGGCGTTCGATCCTACACGAAAAAGGAACGATGTTCGTCGATTTGTAGCTGAACTCGAAATTTACTTCGAAGCCGTTAGATGCACGACCCCGACAAAAGACGCAATGCACATACGGCTCGCACCAACACTGTTACGAGGCCCAGCTCTAGAGTGGATCAACAACAGAATAGTCCAAGGCGAGGGGACGTGGGCGTAGTTTCCGGCAGCACTGATCGAACAGTTCGACACGTTGAACAGTAGCTACTACGGAACACGACGCAACAAGCCAACTAGTGGCATGGGGCGATTGGCACCACCCACGACTGCCGACCCGATGGAGAACGACGAGGGCGATGTGGAGCAGCGGCTAGCAAATAATGAGACGTGCAAATTTTGCGGCGCTACAGGACATCGTATCTTGGCGTGTTGGAAAATGAAGAGAAGGTGTGCGGAGCTGAAGGACAAGAACAGTGCGGCACCCCCGAAGCAGAAAACGGACAACGTGGCAACTTCGGAGAGGGCGAAAAAAGG